AACAAACAAGGGAAAAGTGACATGTCGATCTTCCAAAGGCTTGTCACTGCGCTCGTGAGTCCTTGCGCTCCGCACATTGTTCGCAATCTGATGAGCGTGGCCGAAAAAATGAATTTAAAAAAATGACAATTAGTCGATACATGTGTATGGACTCTGCAATATACATCGTGCATGTGTATGTGCATATATATATATATATCTTTGTACACACAAAGACAAGAAACAAAAACAAAAGATATACATATATACAAAATATTGCAAAATGGTCACTCCAAAAGTTGCCTCTGGCTACCCCCTACAATATTTTCGAAGCCGATTTTGGGGGCTGCGAACAGCCCCAAGGCAAGAATACGATTGGGGCCTTTTTCTTTTCATCCTCCTTGTCGCTTTTGGCCTCCGTTGAGTGGGCCACAGAAAGGTCGACTGCGCCAGCGTGTGAGCATTTACCGCAGCGCAAGCGTGCAAAGGCAGTGACAGCCTCGGATGCCTCCTTCTGTGTTTGTGCCTCTTCCTCAGGCTTCTCAAGGTCTGGATCGCTCTTTGGATCCTGTTCCTGTCGAACTGGATTTGCCTTTGTCCATCAAGCCATTGATAATGCAACTCCAAAGGGCTCAGCAATGCAAAGCATCACCAAATGTTGAAAACCCTAACCCTACGTTGTTCAACAATTCCGGCACCATCCGGCAGTGGCCTTGGTCTCTTTCAGCACCTTCGCCGCTGCAGCACCTGTGCCTGCAGCAGCTGGAGCAGCCTTTGGCGCAGCCTATCAGAAGGAAATAAAAGCAGCAAACCCAAAAAAGGCACAGCCTTGCCGTGAGTATTGCCGGTGAGTGAAATGTATGTCGCACAACTTTACATGAACCCATGTGTCCGCACTGAAAGAATTGCTTCGCTGTAGTGAAACCCAATCCATTCTCGTCTCTCATGATATACCCTGAGCAAAAGCCCGCGAGAGTGTTCTCGCAAGGTTATATTAAATCTAGTTAAAACCATCCAACACGTCAAACGCACTGTAATGTTGCCAGTAATTCCACACGAAGGCAAAGTAAGTAGTAAATGTCTTTCTTGTCAAAGCAGTGATCTGCATAGTGGCTTAGTGCCTTGGCGGCCCCTTTGGCAGCTGGCGCCGCTTTGGCGGCACCTTTCGCCGCTGCCTGGCGCTTTCAAGTCAAGCGCAATGCAGGTCCCAAATGGTCCCAATATGAGGTGCCAGGAGTTAAGCTGAAGCAGGACAAGATTCTGGCCTTGGCCGCAGTTTTTCCAGCCGCCTTTGGCGGCATGACAAGCGCTGTGAAGCTCTGCCGCAAGATTGAGAGTCAAGGTTACTGAGTTTGTCTATAAGGTTTTCTTGGTCCCGTTGGACTGACTAACCATTGACGGTCTCGACAATACAGGGCTCAGTCTCCAGGTTTACGTGCCTTGCATGCACGGTCCGGACCTGCTGATTCAACTTGATGTCGATGTATCTATCGGATTCAATTGTTTAGCATCAAACAGGCTCAGGTTATGGATTCAACGTTGATTCGATTCAAGTGACTCCTCTGTGGTCTGTTGTAGAAAGGAGGTGTACAGCAGTCTTGTGCATGCTTGGAACTGGAGTAATGAATATCCTAGTTCTTGTTTGCGTAACAAGGCAGCTGTAAATTGGCTCCAAGGAAGGCGGGCTAATTTGCAGCATGATTGCGAGGAGACAGGAGTCTTCCGAACCTACACATGCGCCACATGCGCAGTTGTTCCAAGCACATACAGCTGTCCTTCTGTCTCTTCCGCTTCCAGTTCCAAAGATCGGAGCAGTTGCACAGCTGCATCAGCCTAACAAGTGCTTGCGCTGTCAGTAGAGCTTCTCTCAGGGGGTCCATGCCAGATCTCCAGAGTTGATACTATTCAAGCACGGGGCGATATTCAGCTCGTGATGGAGGCATGGCCTTTGTACCAAAAGACACCTGAACTTTGTGCCTGCCTCTTCAAAAAGCCAAAGCAGGGCTTTGCAAGTTGCTCTGGCCTGCTGTCCATCGGCTGCAAAAATCGGCGTCGCTAAGAAAATGGGACAAGCGTATTTCAGCTTTGCTTGTATGAGGCCCCTCTGCTTGTCGCATAGGAAGCAGCTTGAAGCAAAGGGAGATCCCAGACAACCAAGCACTTCCACTTTATTAGCCATTGGCCTTTCTTGTGGACAATCAACAGTGCTGCCTCCCACCAAAGTGATGCTCGGGTAAACAGAAACACAGACTGGCAGCAGGAGGCCTCACGCGAAACGAATCCCTTGCAGGTGTTTGCCAAGGTCAATCAAACGGTCAGAAAGCCATGAGGTGATATAGCTGTTTAGCTGTTTCGGCCCGTAGATTGGTCCGAAGATCTAAGATCTCAGCCACCAGGCAAACAGCTGCTGACGTGCCAAACCACGAGGGAAAACCTCCAAGAACACCGCAGGGCAAGTACCCACATCCTTTGGTCCCAAGGCGAAGTACACATCACACGGCAGACTGGCAGTCTCGTCCTACCGGATATCACTGATTGGGAAACCCACAGGCCTGCACCACGTCGACGCCATAGTGCAAAGAAAGAGAAGCCCAGGGTCAGGTCTCGGCAGTCGCCGAGCAGTTCAAGGATGTGCTGCAAAATTGTTGCATGTGCATTTCTGAAAGTTGGCACGCGCCGAACGTGACGAGGTCTAGGCATGTGATACACCACAGTGAACATTCTTGCTTCAGGCATGTTTTTCCTTGTCTGGGTCAATTAGAGCATCTTCAAGCTGGTGATGCAAAAAATCATAGAGTATTGAATGCATCGTTTGCATCACGGGTTGTCCTGAAAGTTCCAATCAAGTGCATCTTAGTTGTGGACGGCACCGGGAGCATCCAAATCCAATCAAAGCTAACTCTTGTAAATGGGTGCCTTTGTGGATGTGCCATGATGTTTGCAACAATGGACGGAGTGGCTACAGTACCACAAGTCTGTATGCAATTGCATCGCTTTGGACAGTGTTTGGTGGCAGCGAGATAATAAGTCGGTCAGGATGTATTTGGCAACCTGCGTGGCTTCGGATGGATTGACCACTGGCGCACTCGATGGGTCGCCTGTTCGCACAAAAGACAGGCCTATATCCAATCAATGTCCAATCCGAGGCATTTTGGATGTAGACGTTTGGAAGCTGTGTAGTGTGTGTGTGTGTCTGTATATGATCCCTTCCTTTTGTGGGCATCAACGTTCCGATGGGCGCCGCAATGCATGGAGCGATGTGGATATTGAGCATGTATGCATGGATCGGTGGACGAGAACCCAGTACATCAATGTTGACTGTTTCTGAGACGATTTCTGTCGGGAGGCAGCAACTTCAGTGAATCTCACTGGAAAGGATCTCCTCCACAGTGGTCCAAGTGTTTACAGAATCTTGGCTCTTGCACTGTGTGAAGCTCCAGAACTTGGCTTCAAACTGAGCGGAAGCAGCCACGGCCATGATTCTCTTGTTCCTGGCTGACCCCCATGGGGTTTGGTATACTGCATTTCACATGTGGTAGTACTTGGCAACCAATGGAGTTCCACCTTGCCAGACTAGTCAGACCATTTCTGTATCCTAAACTACAATTTCACTCTGGCAGCATGAACATGGCACAAAGTTCACAAGCTTATCCCACTGCAATATGGGGTCTTGTGCAACCCGATTGCAGCGCATGTGCACTGCAAATGCCACTCACCGACTACTCGCCTGCCCTGTTGCCAAACCCTGCTGCAGCAGAGGCATCAGGAGACAAAAGGCAGCAGCTTTCACCTGTTCACGCGCAGGTGAAAAGCTATGCCTGCTGGTACACCTCTGCGATGAATGAAGTTTTATTATGGAGTCAGTCTGACGATTCTGCTTCGATCTCGTTCAAATGATTGCAGCCAAAAACCCAGCAAAAGTATCGACGGCACATCCTGGTATCTTAGCACGTGCCCAGCCGGTGGAATCCAAGAGGGATGCCAAATGATGCAAAGCTGAGTTCAATCATGAAACCTGTGAAGCTCATCTTGTGAGCTCACGGCGTCAAAGTCTAAGGCCCCACACAAAGCTTGGCAATCTCCTGGCAAGTGGCCGACGTCAAACATCTTCAGTTGAACATCCAGTGACCCGTACATGCTAGAGTCACCAAGCACAATGCAATCGTTCGTTTGGCAATCGGTTCAGAAAATAGCTCTCAGAAAACCTGAGTTCCTCAGTATACTAGGGCCGTGGTTCATGAGCCTTCTTCAACCTGGTATGATGCTTTGCCCGGAACCAATGAACCGGAGACATTCTCTCAGTTTACCTTCCTTTCATTCAAAAGGAGCCTTAAAAGCTTACCATTTCTTCACGACGCTTGTTCCCAACCTTCGCCACCTCGCGCCCATGTGTGTCTAATGGGCGTGGCTTTGGTGCCTGGAGCGGGAAGGTGAGTCCTGGGTCTGTTCTAGCTGAGTCCTCTGAACAAATTGTTGTCTTGCACCACAGCGGAAACATACAACCAGCTGAGCTGGTTGATCATCGATGGGAACGTCGAACAGTGTGTCCATAGAGTCGAGAGAAAGAAGTTCGGAACGGACACAAGCAGCTCAACTTGCACCTGTGGAGCATCCTCCATCTTGGCCTTGGGGGCCTGGCTCAATTGCTTCCCCAAGACGCGCAGAAGCGTCCAGAAATGCTGAGAATTCGCTGTGCACAGATGAGCAACAAGCCTCCTGCCCCTGGATGCCAACGTTTGATCAAGCGTAACTGCAAACGGAGACTGGAAAGGCACCAAGAAGTTTAAAGCTTGAAGCCTTTCCAGCCTCTGTAGGTTTGGCCTTTGCCGTATGAATTCCACACCTGGTCAGCCCTCACTGACTGGTGGGAGTCTCCAATCATTGGGATAATGGATTAGAAACTCATGCACAACTTTGGGCAGAGGTTTGACTCATCCAAAAGCAAAGCTCTGTGTGTCTAATTACAGCTCAACCCATGAGCTTCCGCGATGTATCTGCACACCTTCTTTCATTGTGCCTTTGCAGACTTCAGAGAGCTTCACGGAGCCAAGACCAAGCCATCAAAACTTAAGGATTGGTGCACGCTGGGCTTCTGGTGTTGCATCAGCCCGAAGCACATGGACAAGATATATACTCGATTCATTGAATCGAGTCCGGGTTGTCATGATCAAAAACCATTTCCCACTATCAGCCGGCTGAAAAGTGCGTCAGCCACGTCATGCCTCAAAGAGTGAATGAAGAAACTATGCCATATTTTCTTGAAATCCAAGTAACCAGGTTTCCCTGGACAATATTCATCGTCGTACCTCTTCTCTTCGTTGATCTCTCACTTTTGTACGATGCTTTGTCTTGGTCCACTGAGGACGGCCACGCAGCCACATTGGCAGCATCCCAGCCCAAAAAGCCACATCACAAGTTGCAGTCAGACATGCGTGCAAGGCGAGACCTGACCATCAAACTCATGCCAGATGTCTTCAAGAATGCACTGGTTTGCATATCTCAATGACCTCGTTGAATCTTTAGCCATGCAAACTATGTTTTCGATCAACTGGGATCTGGGAAACATTCTTGTTGCTGCAAGAAACATTGCCCACAATAAGCCCTGAACTTCATTTCCTGGTCACAAGGTTCTGGAGTGAACTCGAAGTAGAAGTTGTCGAAGCTGCGAAGCAAACAAAAATCAAAGTGTCAAAGCGGCCGTTTCTCAAAGGCATCCTTTGGTAAAGAGAAGAATCTACCAGTTTGCTGCTCTCTGCTTTGCAACTCCCACGGATTTGTACCACACAAATCAACAAGGAAATAATGCGTTGGAACATCCAAGGGCCGAACTTCTTCGGGACCGTAGCAAAGTCCAGGTGATTGTGGACCTCACCCCACCAAGAGAAGGAATCATCCAGATCGAGACCCCACACTCCAAACAATATTTTCATATTTTGGAGAGAACAACGAAGTGTCTTTCAGAAGTTCCTTTCCGCTGTAGTGCAGACCATCAGCTACCTAAAACGCAGGAGATATCAAATATTGATGACTGTTGATGTATACACATCAATCAATCAAAAGTTCTAAATGTCTGAACAGTCAAAGTGGGACTCTGTGTGTGCGTTTGTGCAACCTCATCTACTCTCACATACTCGTCTGGGTGAAACCCAGGTGTCAACATGCCAAGTCACTCCAAAGGTGTTGGTCTGTTCAGCGCTTCGTGGGCACCACATCGAATTGTCAGAATGAGGGCAAATATCAACCACAACCTGAGGACACCACTGCAACAGGAGTGTCGTAGATTGACTTTGAAAATTGAAGTCCTCATCTGAGCTACAGGCGAATTTGTACTCCTCGTCAAGGGGCCGGAATTACGGAGACAGCATGATGTCAGGATCACACCGCCACCCCCTGACCTGTCCTCATGGAAGATCGGACTGGATTCTGGAGTCCAAATGTGAAATCCCCGAGGCAGCTGTCGAATGAAGCGGCCCTTACCGCAAGATCCGCAGCCGAGGCTCGCCTCAAATGCACGCAGTACGTGTATGGACCTTTCAAATAAATCCGGTTAAATTAAGCCTGTCCAAGGTCGAGGATGCCTGAAAACATATTCTTGCAAGTCAAACAGCATGATTTTTGGAACCGGTTCAAAGAAAAGTGTCTTCAACTTTGCCAGTTTTTGATACAGAAATATACACAAATGACCTTGCGCATCAAAAAAACAAGACAGTGCATACGCGCAAGCGTCTCTCTTGACAAGGCATGAACCAACACCGTTTCGGATGGGAAAGTTGTTGACCTGAAGCCTGCAACTCAGGAAAGCCAAGTTACGGTGGATCCGCCTCCACCATTGCGATTGCATCGGCAGCAACCATCCTGCTCACAGAAGTCTCACTCACACCCAACTGTTGTTCACGACTTCCAAAGGTCTTTCCTCCAAAGGCCTTACGCGACACACGCCTGACCTTTACTATGTGGCACCTTTGTTTTGGGTCTGCTAAGCGTTCCCTACCGAAGCCCAACAAAACCAAACTTGCGCCCTACCCAGTCGACTTTGAAAGTGCCGTCAGCTATCAATAAGATGTGCTTGGCAGGCTTCCATTCATCTGACACCGACAAGGAGCTGAGAAGAAAGCAGTGTAGCTGAAGACGGCCAACAACACGATACAAGTCACTTGCTGACAGGTCTGCCTCTCACTGCTGCAGGCTGCCTGCTGGCAGTCGCCTCTTTCTGCGGGCTTTTGTTGCACTCTCCGTCCCAACCCTTTGAGCTTTGCCCTGCTCTCCTGACCCTGACCCCTGTGAAGTCACAGAAGCGCTTACAATCCACGCGCTTATTGCACCGGCATGTAGCCCGAAAAACATTGGCTATCAATTTTGGCTGTGGCCTACTTGCCAAAATCCAACGCTTCCTCTCTGTAGAATAGAAGGCATCAGTACAAGGGACTTAGGAATTGAACATTTGAAGAGTTCCTATCTATCCCTGGCAAAGCCTCTGCAAAGCAAGTCTCTTTCTGTGTGTACTTTCCTTTGTTGTCAAAAACCTCCGCCTTGGAATGTGGAGGCGGCATCTTCACAGGATCACAAACATCTGCGGGATGCACGCAATGAAAGAAGCAAAGGGTGATCGTGATAAAGCCTCCATAGTCACAGAGAAGACTAAGCGGGATGTAGTGAAGGACATCAAAGGTGGGGCTTAAACAGTGCCCGTGTCATGACTTGTCGAAAGTCCGAGAGCGAAGAATTCGTGGAACTCCTGCATCGCCTGAGCCGAGGCTACGGCGAGGTAGTCCGTACCTTCCAGAAAGGAATGCTGTCTCTGCAGCCAGGCTCCGGAGCCACTTCCCGCCTTTGACAAGAGCACCTGAATCCAAGCCACAGGCAGTGAATGGATTTGTCCCGTAGCGGGTGGTTGTGGCGAGATACCTGCACAAGGTGATTGAGAACTCTCTCTCTCTCTCTAATCTCAAGCGGAAAAATACTTTGACTTCGCTGAAAACGCTGCAAAAGCCGCTGAAGCCGCGCGTGGCGGCGTGGCCTGTAGCCGTTCTTTTTGGGTGGCGGAGCCCACAAATGTCTCGCAGACGCCTCAGTGCAGGTAGGGAACTGGTGCAGGGTGCAGTCTGAAGTGAAAAGTGAAAAAGGTGATCCAAACCAGCTTCACAAAGGTCTGCTTGCTTTCTAATTGTTCTGACACCTTGCCAAAATCTGCAAGCCTAGGACTACATGTAGAAACCTTTGAGCTATGTTGCATTTCCCATGGTGAAATTCCTCTCAAAAGCCTCCGTGACGTTGATCGAAGCTCGAAGATTCCTTAGCAAAACTTTGGAGCTTGAAACCTCATGCAACTGAAGCAGCGAATGTATATCTTCGCTGGCTTTGAGAAAGTAAGGGGTAGCGAAGAAAGCTGATTCCAGTCTTCAAAGTACAAGACCCTTGCAAACATTGCAAGTCATGTGAAAAGAATCAGCAGTCGCCGCAGTCGCCTGGTTGGTCCTGACCAGTTAAACCGAACTCCGGGGCAGCGACCTACTTCTTCGGGCATCAATTTTGGCGACCTACTTCAAGGCCAGATGCCGCGAGTATCATCGGAGGTTGGCGTCCTTGCGATGTGCCGGTCCATCCATCTGAACCAAGACACGGAGAGGAAGCCAGAGACAGGCCGCACACGGTAGCCAACAAGAGCTGATGAAGACCGTAAGCCATGAGAACCTCATGCAAATTGCTGAAATTGCCAGAAAAGAGTTTTGCAATTCGGTTCCGGTTGGAGACCACTATTCAGTCGAGGCCATCGCCCCGTTGCACTCACCGTTGTCTTCGGATTTGGGGCTCCGAAAGGCGAAAAAGGAGTCCGTCACGTCCGATCGTTCCGAGTAGCGATGCCAGGAGCCCCGTTCGTAGCGTCCGAACGCTCCGTTCGAAGCGATGCCCTTGGTTCCGTTCGTAGCGTCCTTGCTCCTAGTAGTAAGGCCAGGAGCCCCTAGAAGCGTCCGAACGCTCCTAGAAGCGATGCCCTTTGTTCCTAGTAGCGTCCTGGTAGGAGCCTTTCGAAAGCTACTGGATTTAGCCTGGCGCTGGGCCATGCTGTCCATTGAGACTGCCGAGAAGCTTTTGAGTGCAGCTTGGCGAAGGCTTTTGATGATGACACCGAGCTCAAAATGCTTTGGGCAAGGTCGTGCTGAAAAAAATGATGCATTTTGCATGATAAAACAAGCTTGGTCCAAGTGCTTGGTTCTGTTTTGAGTATGCCCAACGTTGTGCGACGCGTCCCACCTCCACGGTGCATCCCAAATCACATCCAACCTCCTGCGAGACAAAAGGATTTCACAAACAAACAAGGACAGTTCTTGGCTCAAAACTTCAGCTGTGCTTGATCGAAGGGGCCGAAAGTCGATGACCGGAGCATGTCTTTGTCGATTGGAATGGAGCATGCTTAATCTCTTTCAGCGGACTCCGCGGCCACAATGGCTCACAATCAGCGGATTGTACCACCATAGTATGAAGATACCTTCATACGGTAGAAGTCAAAACATGACTGTGACTGTAAAGCGTGCCATTCGGGGTGCAGCTTTCTTCCCTCTCACAGTCTCAATCGGGAGATCAATGGTGCTCGGATATCATCCTTCAGACTACACACACTTGTCGAAAGAAGCTACTGGTAACAAGGGCATCGCTACTGGGAACAAAGGGAATCGCTACTAGGAGCAAGAAGCTACTAGTGACAAGTTGCGCACTCTTCAGACTACATTCTCTTGTCAAAAACGTCCTTCAGGTACTGGTCCAACGGGGAACCAGCGAAGTGCACCTCCTGGCTTGTCCGTTGTCATCTGAAATTAAATCCGGATATTATGGAATAGCAGCCTACAATACAATAGATTAGGTCACCCCACAACGCCCACCCCCCACCCAAACTGTTTGAACTGCTTCTGCAAACATGCATGCCAGCAAAAGCAGGGTTTTGTCTTGGGCCAGTCCCTGCCTTCTGTTAATTCTGTTTCACCCTCAACATGAACCGGATTCAGTTCTGGTCCCAAATATTGGAAAATGGCTAGCAGTTTTTGTAGCGGTACAGTGTCTAGTTTTTGTGCGAAGAACCTCATCCACAGCACCGGCTGTGCCAAGCCGTGTGTTGAACACCAATAAGCCTTGCGTAGAAACGACAAACTCTCAAAACTCAACTCCCAAAGGCCTCAATCTCCATCGAATGCCAGCTCCCAGGAATGAGCTGGCTTTTTCGAACAAGTTCATGACGTGTGTGAATGACACTCACATAGTTGCTCAATGTGCTTTGGTGTCACATTAGTTTCTTAGGCACAAGCTTCGGCTAAAGCAAAACACTACAGGCCCAGCTTTGTGTCGAGATAAAGCAACATGTCATGACTGTGTGGTTCGATGTCGCTATCGCGGTTGTCCATGTTCTCCAAGCCACGCTGCAGCAAAGCTCCGGTTGTCCACGTGTCTGAGTGTCTGACTATGTTCTCATGCTGTTGGCCCCTCACGCTGTTCTTCTTTTCACAACTGATGTTGGTTCAATGGTCGAATTAATGCAGCAGGGAGCTTTGCAAATTAATATACAAACCGAATGTGCACAACGTCTCCAAAAACAACAAACAAGATCTGAGACCAATTGCCTGGAGAAATTTGCTCAGAGTGGTCTGGGACAAGCCGTGAAACTCAGGAAAGCGTGAATTCACAAAAAATCCGTCTCGGTCTCGGGGACCGGAGCTCTCAGAACATCATCCTGGCTGAATCTTCAGAATGGGATCTCACCAACCTCGCAACCACCCATTGAAAGCCTGACTGTCAAGTAAAAGCCTGCTTCTACAGGGTCACAAATTGTCACAAAAAGTCTCAGCACGAGGATGTTTTTTGATGATGTTGCTGCGAGACATTCCTTAAGCGTCGTCCTCACTCATGGAGCGTTCAAGCCTCACCAAACGAATTCCACCATTCGAGGGCGGAGAAAATCAAGAACCAGATTTGGCTGCGAAGAATAGGGAAGAACCACCCATTTGTAAAGTTCAGTATGCTCAATGATATCTGGCATCCAAATTTTAGGTACGAGCTGGTAATGCCTGTGGAATCTCGAGACTCAAGCTTTCACCTACCAATTGATCATTCGCTAGCTTCCCATGAAAAAGAAGGCATGGACTACAACACAATGGGTTTTCAGTTGCCTGTAGCACGTCTACAAGTAGCTTCACACAGTAACATACAAAAACATTGCTTGGGCTGGGGCTGCAATGCGAGCAAATGCCCGGCGCAAGCCACATACAAATCTCGCAAGAATGACGAGAACACAACCGGAAACAAACAAGTAAGTGCAGAAAAAAAGCTGCACATGCCTGCTGAAAACGATATAGAATAATTGACAACCGAACTGCCAGCTGCATATATCACTAAGAACAGAATGCTGATCAAAGTGTTCACCAACGTGTCTCACCTACAATTAGAGGTCTAGTTGAATGTACCTAGCAATTCCAAAGTCCTGTGTTTGAAAACCAAGACAGAGCAGGAACCTTCTCCCACGCATGACTTTGGCTTCTGGTTTGACGAGTGTGTGGAGAAACATAAAGTCGGACCATTGTTCAAGACCCGTTGACCCATGACAGCATCACCTTGGGACCGCTGCGACATTGGTGGAATCCTGGACAGCAGGCTGTCCGTGAAAAACGAGGAATGCGAGAAAAACATGCCAATGCCACCGCTGCTTTACAAACACAAATTGGGATACGATTGACTATTGCAAACCCAAATCATCAAACCATCTTTCCCAAATCGAAGGCAAGGGCCATCTGCCATGCATGTACAATATGCAAGTTGAGACATGATGAAATGGCTGACGCTGACCCCTTCTATACTGTAACTTCCGCTATACAGGTGTAGGTTTGGCGTTTTGCAGGCTGGCCAAGGAAGAAGCATGTCTTGAACATGTCGCTAGCCGCTAGCGAGTGCAAAATGCATAGCGAGTGCATCTCAAAACCACACGTGGAAGAATCCTTCAACCCCAAAAACACCGGCAAACCTCAGACCTCGTTGAGACGTTCGAGCAGTTCAGGAAGCTCTGGCACCTGCCCCAGTTCCATGTATATAAAGATATCGTAGACATTTTGTCTCAAACAAGAAGTCCCACAAGTAAACATGCATTCAAAAGAGAAGTAAATACACATGTGTGACTCATGACTTTGCCCAGATGTAGAATGCACATGCAGTGTCCTAGCTTGCACAAATTCATTGCTATCAAGATCACACAAGATAGTCATGTCATCAAGCATCCAGTGTTCCAACAAGAGCACAAAGAACAGCAATAAAATGCAATATTACTCAAGAAGCTACTAGTAACAAAGGGCATCGCTACTAGTAGCTCCTGGCATTACTACAAGTAACACTCTGAAGGTCTCTGTGGCCGACTGGCAAGGCTCCGCTCTGGACGCTCTGGTGCCACTCTCCCCAAAACCGGCCTCCGGGTTGCAGTTCGAAGCCACATAGCCCTGAGCCAATTGAGTTCTCTCCACGTGACAGCTGTTTCCATCAAGGTGTCACACCTGCTTCCATCATGTCCCTGAAGCCTCTTCAAAACCTGAGTGAACTCCCTGCTCGCACCTCTTTGGAGAGGCCCAGCACCAGAGTGAACTCCCTGCTGGTGTCTGCCTGCAGTATTGCAATACGGGGATCAAAGGGGTATGTTAGTTTCTTATCCAGGCCTTTAAAGGTTCACCAGTTGATATGACATCATATGACATCAATGTGTCACTAAGGAGCAAGTGCTATACATCAACTCATATCTGAGTGGTCTCTGTCCGTTCTTGGCCAGACTCAATCTGAATCCGTTCTTGTTACAACTGGATCCAAAAGCATGCAGTCATTAGATGAAAACGAACCCGTCTCATGGATCCCAGGTCCCTCTGCCTTGTCAATCAACGTGAAGCACAATCGAATGGTCTGCGCACAAACGCGGGTGATCTCCAAGCCCAAGCAGCAGCTGTACCTACACGTTTTGCGCATCTCTCCCACATGAGTTTCGACGGTTTCCCTTTGCTCAAGCCTGTCTTTGTGAGAAATACTACAAACATTGAGAAACAACAAGATTTGGGCGAACCGCTTTGTTCAACATGCCGGTGCCTTCAGTGGCCACAATTTCACAACCCAAAAAAGCACAAATGATTCAGGGGGCTTCCCTCCATCACATGTGAAGTGCTTGAGCCAAGCCTGACGCAAATGATACCAGGGGCACCGTTGCAAGAAAGCTTCAATCTTCAGATGCTGGAGTCTGGAAGCCTTCAGCAAATCTGAAGCAGGCTAAACCAAGAGCAGTAGAGCCCCTTGCCCTCTCTGTCAGCGATGCAAAACAACTCCTCCCAAAGCAATAGTTGGCCAACTGGCCAACCTACCATACCTCTAGACAGGATCAGTCAGATCCTGCAAACCAAGAACCTAACTTTCTGACATGATACCCTGCATCATCACGAATTCATGCCTCTTTCTGCTCTGCAAATCTCTGCTCTTCTGCTTCAAGCTCCTGTTTAACGCAGAGGTGCCATCAGCTCAAACCACACTTTTCACCGCATAACCTCCAACTTAGTTACACATCGTGGGGTTCACATTTCTGCATGATGACCAGTCGTCAGTAAAAAAGATCTGAACGTCCTTCTGATAGTCTGCCTTTGCACTGCGCAGAATCTCTTTTGCTTTTGTGACCACCTTGTCGGGGACGGACTCAAAAAGGTATGGACTGTACAATGCGCCGACAGTTTTCACAGGGTTTCGTTGCACACACGATTTCTTCTCAAGACTAGGTGCTACTTTATGGCACAATGAAGACTCTGGCTCGAGCTTTGCGTTTGAACTCCGCATGAGTTTAAACTTAGGGCATTTGCATGTTGTCGCAACTGCGACATTTAGATCTCTGGTATTCGAAGCAGTCTGGAAACTTCAAGAATAAGCACGTTCTTGCAATGGTTTCGCATGTCTGAGTGTCTAGCTTCGTGGTGTGAGTGTGTGCAAAGCTTTGGGCAAAGCTTTGAAAACTCAAGTCTAGATCATGTGCTGCTCTTGACAACATCCTGGAAATTGCATTTGTCTTTCCAATGCTTTGGACATGTGCAACAAACTGTTTGAAAATGTCTGCTCTATTCTTTGTGGAAGCAAAGGATGGTCTATTATTGAGCATTGACCTGTGGATGAATCAGGGCCAACAGCCAAGCATCACCAAACGTAGCAGCGCAAACCCCAGCTTTGTGCATCGCACGATGGGCAAAACACACGCGTTCATTTGTAAGCACGCTGGATGTGGCATTTGGCACAAAAGCCCAATACAAATGTTGAACATGTTTGGTAGTTGTATGTAGTTGTTAACATAAAAAGCTGGGAGTATGCGGCAGAGACCGCAACACTTTCTCCACAATCGAATCCAAGGAGTCTTTGCTAGACTGCAGACGTGAGGCTGGATTTGGGTCAAGTTCCACGCACTGGCAAATGCGCCAGAAGCCGCATTCCATCCCACAAACTTGTTCATGCCAGTGGTTGGGTTCCCGAAACTCATCCCCTGTCTGCAGTCGGCGAGTGAGCGTCAAGCTTCTTTAGCTTTGGCTGCTGTGGCCCCTGTCGACCTTTGGTTTAATCTGCCGGGGAGTGCTGCAGGAGCAATGTAGTTTACAAAGGCCTTCGGGCACCAATTGACAAAATCCAGCTCTTGGTGATGCTTGTGATGCTAATTCAGCCGCGTGCATCATTTGCAATGTGCTGTGGTGAAAATGTATGCAAACATGGATGCAATGTAATGCCAAACAAACAAACCATTTCACAACGAAGCCAGAACTCGCAAAACATACCGAGACATTCAAATGACCAGCCGCACCAACCAACTACCAACCACAAAATTACAACCACCAAATCCAAATTGTTCAACGTGAAACTCACACCACACCCACTGCGGCACTACACATTCAATTCTCTGCCAAGCGGAACTGCGTCATCGGGCTGCGCACAACCCCGTCTCGGAGCTAAAGTTGGAGGCCAGTGCTTCTAGGTTGGAGGCCATCGCTATTAGGATAGTAGAGCCATTGCTATTAGGTGTCTTTTTTCTCTCTGTTCTTATGCTCAAGTTTTTCGCGTCGAAACCACTCCAGCCGGATTCTGAGAATGACCTACCCCACCAAATCCCAGCCTCTGCTCGGTCGCCAGCCGACTTCATGCATTGAAGCACGGCCTGCCAAGCAAAGAGATGCCTTAAAGACCTTCAAGTTGCTTACTTGAGTTTCTTTGCAAGCATGTTCTGCACTTTGTCATCACGAGCCTCTCCCAACTGCGCTCCTTCTTCACGAAAGCCTCGGGCTGCCTAACAAATTCAACAAATTGTGCTGATGAAGCAAGGGTGGATCGGGCGTGGCGACGTCGAAGACATTTGGAGACTCAGTCCAGCAATTTTGTGGATGATGTTTCTGAGTTTCTTTTCCAAGTGTCTTCATCTAAACCGGCCGGGCAGTCACTTGCGCACTGGGAATTTCGGTCACTTGCGCACTTTGGGTCACTTGCGCACTTGGCATCAAAAATTTAGGTCACTTGCGCACTTACCTGCTTCCTAGCAAC